GCTGCCGGGAGTGGGAGGTAAGGAGGAGTTCGGGATGCTGGGAGGCAGCTTGTCTGCATTTCTGATTTGTCTGCAGGGGCATATCCTCCTCCTCTGCCCTGAATCTGAGGGGATGGGTATGGAGGTTCTAAGGTGGTTGTTAACTGAGTGCCTTTCCCTTTGTCTCAGAGCTCGGAGATGTGGTCTGTGGCAGGACCGGTAGCTTCAGGGGGTGTGAGGGAGCTGCATCACCCGAGGGTGTGCTGTAGAGTTTTGCATGGGGCAAGAACGCACTTAGTCTTGGCTTAAGGAGGGCAGTGGTGGATGAAAGATGATCTCTTGCAGTGAGGGTGTTGCAGAGGACACCGATGGGGCTATCACATCGCAGACATGTGATCTCTGGTCCCTTAACTGTGGTCTGGTCCTGGGATTAATGCTCTTTGTTCAGGTTTCCTGCCTGCTTTTGGTTTTCTGCCCTTTTCTGTCTTCAGTTTCCTCTCCTGCCTGGTTTCAGCAGGGCAGCGGTGCTGCAGCCCCCTTCACTTGGTGGGAAAGAGCTGTGACTGTGCTGATGTCACCTGTAACCTGGGCTCCCACAGCCTGGGGTGGGCTGTGAGCCCCAGACACAGTAGTACCGTACTTCCCTTTATACAGACTTCATGGTTTTCCTTGATCTTTGCCCTGCACCATCCCTTTCTCCATCTGTTTTACCACGTTTTCCCTCTGCCTCCTTGCAGGTGGAAGATGACCTCCCTCCAGAGGTGGCACCCGCTCAGCCAGAGCTTTCCTGGGCTGCTGCATCAATGACAGGTAAAGAAAATGAAGCAGCAGGTTGCTGCAATCACTGCAGCGGGCTTCTCTGCATGTAGGCTTTTGCCGCAGGCAGCTCCCTCCTCCCCAGAGTGTTTCTCAACAGCTACTCCTTGCCCCTTACATTCCCCCTAGAACTCAAAATTTTGCTCCTGTCTAGATCAATGCCTCTGGAGTGGGGATGCCAGGAATGGGCTGCAAATTAAGGGGTTGATGCCCATGCCCTCTGTATGAAGTCTGGGTAATTGGTCTTAATTACCACAGCTCCGGGAGCTGCTGTGGGAGGACTGGGGGGGGGCAGGCGGCTGGACGAAACACGTGCCTCCCGGCAAAGCCTCGGGGGAGACGGCCTCAATCCCAGGCAGTCCTCTGAGGATGCAAACTGGAGCTGAACTAAGGGGATTTCACACTTGCAGAGCGAAAGATTGGGGAAGGAGCTCCTCCCTCTTGCATGCCTGTCAGCGAATCCCCAGCATTTCCCCTTCCCCATTGCCTCTTTCCAACCCTTTGCCTCTCGAGAGTCCTCTCCACAGTGACAGTCCACCCAGAGGGGCAAGGGACATGAAGATGAGGGATGTGAGCTTCCCCTCATGAGACAAAGGGAAGGGCTGGAGAGCTGGGCAGCTTTCCTAGAGGGGCATCGTGCCCGTTGGGATGTCTCACTGATGACAAGTCAGGGGCTGGTGACCCACTGGTGTTGCTTCACAGCTTCCTCCATCAGCCTGCTGCTACTCACTGCTGCTCACATCCAGCTTTCTGCTGGGATGGAGAATAAAGGCTGGTGCAGGCAGGATAAAACAGGGCCAGTTCCTTCAGGCTGTTTCTTCCTATTGGCTTTCCTTGCTGCTGCCAAATTCTTCTTCAAAGTCCTCTCCCAGAAAGTAAAAAGGATCATCAGTTCTGATTGTGCTGCTGTCATGGCTGAGGCTGTGATCATCCTTCCCTGGAAAAAAAGGTCGCAGGTATGATGGGATGACTTCTTCAAGCAGCCAGGTCTGCTCCGCTGTGGTCTCTGCAGCTTACTTTCCTAGTGCTTGGCCCTTTTGTTCATTGAGAAGACCATCTAGAGTCACCATCTCAGGGACAGGCATGAAGAGAAAGCTGCCTTCATCCATCCCAGAAAAACAAAGCCTGAATCAAGGGGCTAAGTTGGCATCAGCATGGTCACGGCATCTTCCCTCTCCATCCTTACAGCCTGGGCTGTTCTCCCTGCCTTTTTCAGGCTGAGCTTGCCAGGCAGCATGGAGTGGACCATCCATACTCCTCCCTGCAGACCTCAAGCATCTCCAGGTCAGGCTGGGAGCAGCTGGTGATGCAAAGCCAACCTCGAGTGGGCTGGAGGTGACACCAGGAGGCAAAGCAAAAAAAAAAAAGGGCTTTGTAGCACCACATCCAAGAGGTGCCACAGAGCATCCCATCCAAGAAGGGGCTGAGTCCTGCCTGGCTGCGTTTCACAGTGATGGGAGAGAAAACTCACGGTGCTGGACATGTTCTGGCTGGAGGCTGCAGAGCTGGATGAACAACATTGTGCTGCCCACCCCATGTCTAACATCAGACAGAACAACGTGTGTTGTGTGTGTTAAATAAAACAAAGCCCACTTGCTCAGCCTGCCTTTCCAGCAAAAATAAAACCAAACCAGCCCCAGGTTCCTTTAAGCTGCTGCGCACGTGCTGCTCAAGCGCGGTCTCTTTGCTTCTCTAGCATTCCTCTTAGTTCATTGGCAACCTCAGGCATGTTCCCAGGAGATTTTTCCCGCTGTCTTTCACAGCCCACCTTCCCTGAAGACTCTGTAAGGTCTCTGCTGCTGTGCTATACCCAACCTCCCCCTCATCCACGCGTGGTCCCCAGGGTCCCTTCTCAACCCCCCATGCTGATGTATAATGGAAAAGGGGAGAGTTCTGTGCGGCAGCCTGAGGAAATTCTAAACACCAGAGTAAACTTCTGAGGCATAGGGTTTTGGTTTGTTTTTCAGGTGGAGAGCCTGGCCATGAGCTTCCCCAGAGTGAAAGCTACCAGTATGACCACTGGTACCAGCCCGTGCCACCCCAGGGGCCCAGCTCCCATGAGGACCCCTCTCTCCGGCCCCTACCCCCTGCTGAGGTCACAGCATCACCACAGCTCGACTTTGGGCAAGAGCTGCAGCCTCCCACACTTGGCCCAGTGACAGCCGCCCCTCCGGGAGGGGTTTATGCTGAGCCCCCTCCACCAGAAGGTGAGTGCTCCAGCCTTGTTTCTCTACAAAAGTGCCTGTCTCAAGTTAGTGGCGGTGGAATGGGGTGTCCCTATGGTGTGCATCACTTCAAACACTACTGCGTTCACCCGCTACCTTGTTTCCCTCCAACCTTGCCCAGATACGGAGCCACACTTGCCCTGGGGCTGTTCCTGCAAAGAGTCCACCGCTGCTGGCCATCCTGGGCCAGGTGGGTCTTCATTTTCTGGAAGACCTTGCCCAAAGCATCATAAAGTGTCTCTGATAGACATTTATAGGAGCTCCTAGGGCCAAACCTTGATGGTGTCCCTTTCCTCTGACTTTGCAGGAGAAGCTGGGGAGCCTTGGGGTGCCTCGCTGTCCCCTGGTGGGGTGCAGCCATCCGTTCCAGCAGAGCAGGTGAGTCAAAGGGGTCAGGGAGGCCATCCCATTGGGGAGTCCTGGCATGGAGGTGTCCTGGTGACACTGATCATGCTTTGGTGGCTCCTTTGGGAACACCACGTGGCAGCTCGGCTCTCCAATGCCAGGAGGAGTTCAAGGCAAGGGCCCGGACCACCTCGGAAAGCTCCACAGTCTCCTTGGAAGAGGACAGCCAGCCTTCCTTGGAGAACACAGATGAAGACACCGCCAAAGAGGTGGTGAAGCCAAGTGAGGATAAGGTAAGCCAACGTGAAGACTTCTGCTCCGAGCTTGCCTGTTCCCAATGGCCGCTGTGCTTCCCTGACCTGGGCAAAACGGTGCCTGCTCCCAGCGGGTCTGGGTGGCTGCAGCAGCCTCCCCTTCTCATCCATTTCTGCTGTGTTTCCCAGAGCTCCGGATTCAGGTGGTTTGGTTGGTTTAGGTCGAAGCCCACCAAGGAAACCTCTCCCGAAGCCACGTCCGAGACAGACTCGGACTCCCCCACGCCAGGACCACAGGTAGGGAATTAAAGGCTGTGTCCTGTCCTGACACCCGGGATTACAGCCGTGGGGACAGGTGACACGTCTCACCCATCACCCACTGTTTTTCCTTCAGTCCCCAAGCAGGCAGCTGGGCTGTCCCCCCTGCACAGCTCTTCATGTCTGCAGCTGTGTGAGCACAGAGCAAGACCAGAAGCCTTTTTAAGCCTGGAAGCTCAACCTTGATTAATAATTGTAAATGAGGAACAGACAAGACCCATGGGCCCTGGTGGCCCCTGTGAACAGGCTTGGTGTCCAGCCTCCTGCCTAATTTTGAGCTCTCTGGGTGGTTTTGCTTTGTGACAGGCATTGCTTACCCTGACCCCGCTGCTCCCCCTTAGCGTGGGTGTCTGTAGCTCTTGGGGTACCTCTCCGAAAGCATGGTGAGGTACATGGTGCAGAGGTCTTCTCACTGTGCAAGGAGCTTCTGCTTTAAATGGGTTGATGTGGTTTCAGGAGCAGACATCATCGCCATCCCCGTCTGACATCCCTCTCACAGCTGGGACAAGCCCTTTGGCTCAGCATCCATCCAGAAACCCCGGTAAATGACACACAGGTCCCCTTTCCCCATCAGCCTTTGAGAAACCGCTTCTCTTAATTTTAAGGGGATTTGGGTTTTTTCCTGGTTGTGTGCCCCAGGAGGGAATGCAAGGTGAAAACACCTTTCCTGTTATTCCAGTGTCGATTGAGGTGAAAGGCTTGTGGGACATGGAAGGCGGGGAGCCAGCAGGAGAGCAGGTGAGGTGTATTCATGTGTGCTGGGGGGGAATCCGGGACACCCCTCAATTCGGGGTGGCTCTGAAATTGGGGGGATGGCTGGCTGTTATGTTTCCAGACAGGTTCCCATGAATCATCTCCTCTGCAGGGAGCAATCCCCCTCTTCAACCCTGCCCAGGTCTCTCAGGTGGGATCATCCTCCCGGGGTGTGTTGCTGGATGGGGAGGGGGGGCTAGATTTAGGTTAGACCTTAGGGAGAAGTTCTTTGCTGTGAGGTGAGGGTGGTGAAACGCTGGCACGGGTTGTCCAGAGAGGTGGTGGAAGCCCAACCCCTGGAGGCATTCAAGCTCTGAGCCACCTGATCTAGTTCAAGATGTTCCTGCTCCCTGCGGGGAGGTTGGACTAGATGGACTTTAAAGGTCCCTTCCAACCTGATGCATTCTAAAATTCCCTGATTGATTCCCTGATCGATTCCCTGCCTTCACAACGGATTCCACAATTCTATGATGTCTTGCGGTGGCTTTTGGGGGCGGTGCCAGGCTGCTGTGTGTCCTCTACGGACAAGGCGTTTCTAAGAAGATACCAAATCTGTGGAGGACGCTGATCGTGGGGAATGTGATGGAGGAGGGAAATTTGAGGGAAGAGGGGAATGACAACTCTTTCTGCTTCCCA